ATAAGAGACTCTTAAAAAATGAGAACAAACTGAGGGCTGATGGGGGGTGGGAGGGAGGGGAGGGTGGGTGATGGGTATTGAAGAGGGCATCTTTTGGGATGAGCACTGGGTGTTGTATGGAAACCAATTGGACAATAAATTTCATATATTAAAAAAAAAAAAGGATCCCTGGCTGCCAGTTCCAACTGGGCCGCCATCTTTCTGTATGGGTCTGGGAACAATCTGTCTAACTTTTTCTGCTGCAGCTGTCCTATCTGTAAAATGAAAGCAATCTCAAGACTTCTTTCATAGATTTGGAGTTCTGTAATTCTCTCAAACCTTTACCCCCAGATCCAGTGAAATCAGACCCTTCCACAACAGAATTAGGGGACCACCAGATTCGCTCCCAGTGAATCTACTTCTTGGACCGATTGGAACTTCCAGTGCCTTTTCTTGTTCCAGAATCTATAGTGTCTCCCAGTTGCCTGTCACAGCCAGTGTACTCTCCTCTCCTTGGCTCTCAAAAGATAAGCAGTCTGTCCACAACCCACAAATCTTCCATATGTCTCAGCACTCAACATGTGGAATCCCTGAGTCCAGTCGGGCTGTTTTCCTCCCTGACCCTGATCTGCCCCGTGGCCTTTACTTCTGTGCCCTTCCTGTTCCATTTCTGACTTCTAAACCTTAGCAATTTCATAGAGTCTCTAATAAAGCCAACCAAATTTGGGGCACCTTGGGTGGCTTAGTCGGTTAAGCGTCTGACTCTTAGTTTTGGCTCAGGTCATGATCTTGTGGTTCCTGAGCTCCTGTCTTGAATCGGGCTCCACGCTGACAGTGCAGAGCCTGCTTGGGATTCTCTCTCTCTCCTTCTCTCTCTGCCCCTCCCCACTCTCTCTCTCAAAATAAATAAATAAATAAATAAATAAACTTGAAAAAAAAATAAAGTCAACCAAATTTAAGTGGATTTTGAATAATAGGTCACCCCAAAACAAGAACTTACTACAGGAAAGAAAAAATTGCTCATAATTCCACATAGAAAGCCAAACCCTGTGGACACCTTGGTTTACTCCCTTCAGCCTTTTTTTTTTTCTTTTTAAATCTGAGCAAGGGGGGCGCCTGGGTGGCGCAGTTGGTTAAGCGGCCGACTTCAGCCAGGTCACGATCTCGCGGCCCGTGAGTTCGAGCCCCGCGTCGGGCTCTGGGCTGATGGCTCGGAGCCTGGAGCCTGTTTCCGATTCTGTGTCTCCCTCTCTCTCTGCCCCTCCCCCGTTCATGCTCTGTCTCTCTCTGTCCCAAAAATAAATAAACGTTGAAAAAAAAAAAATTAAAAAAAAAAAAATAATAAATCTGAGCAAGGTTTTAGGAAATGAACCACCAGACTTGACTTATCGATCGCCTACAGTTGACTGACTGTGGGGGTTGCTTTTAATCTTTCACTATAGTCTACGTGTTGTGAGGAACATCCTGTCACTGAGCCATTTTACATGTCTTTAATTATTTCCTTGAGCTAAATTCCTAACAGTAGAATCACTGGGATGAAAGGCCTTTTGATGATGGGGGGGGGAGGTGGGGGTGGATGAAGAGAAACCATGTTGAGATCCAAATCGTTCTGTGAGTCGAGGAGCATGCTGAGTGAGAAAGTGACAACCCCCATCTTTTTCTTTGGGGATCGACCAGTTTTACAGGCATCCTGGCACCCTTGCTTTCCTCCCTACTAATGTTCTGGCCCAACCCCAAGCTTCTGAGACCTCTAGGATAGGTTCTCTAAAGGCGGTATGCTCAAGAAAAATAAATAAATAAATAAATAAACAAACAAATAAATAAATAAATAAATAAGCAAGCTGCCGGTGTATCTCTAGCTGGGACCGAGGATTCCAGAGCTAAGTCTCTCCTGATTCTCCTCCACCCGATTCCACCCCCCCTCCTCAGTTGATGGAACTATGCACTTGGGCATATGTGATTGACTGTGGTATTAAGAAAATATGTATGACACAATGTTTTTTAGCTTTTTCCAAAGATATTTATATCACACAAATGGCATGTTGGGTCTTTTTTTTCCCTCCTCTCAACCACTAAGACTGAATAAATCAATTGTCCTAATCAAGCTAATGGAGAGGATGTGGACTGGAAAGGTAGGTGGGAGGGGGCTCTTTGCCTGAGCCTGCTGCCTCCTTATCGGGGG